GTGCATGTATCTGTCTCTCTCTCTCTTCTCTCCCTCTTTCTATCTATTTCTATCTCTTTCTCTCAATATTTCTCAATAAACATTTTCTTAATTTCCTAGTGATTTTTTTAATTGAGGAAATCGTGTTTTAAAAGTGATAATTTTTCGTAAAGTTTGCAGACTTTGTAAAATTAATTAATTAATTGACGATTAATTAATTGAAAAAACAGTCAGTAAAGTGTGCATGTTGCTTATTTTTCTTTCTTTCCCTCTCTCTTTCTCTCTTTATTTCTCTCCCTCTCTTTATTTTTCTATTTATCTGTTTCTGTCTCATTCTTTTTTTTTTCTCTTTTTCCTCTCTCTGTATCTCAATAAACATTTTCTTAATTTCCTGGTGATTTTTTTAATTAAAAAAGTGTTTTAAAAGTTTGAAAAAGTAATCGTTTTCCGTAAAGTCCATAAAACAACCCAAAATACCGGGTGACAGTAAATGATTGTGATTTTTGATGTCAAATTTAAAATTTTAGTTTGGCAACCTTGTCCTTCAAATTTAAATATCAAACTTGAGTCAAAATTGAGTTTTAAGTGATCGTTTTCTTGGAATAAAAAATTTTGTAACACGAATCCGGGTATATGGGAGCGTATTATTGTTATTTAGCGGAATTTTCCGGAGAAAGATTTCAGTTCGCATCGTCCCATTACATTTCTTCGTGACATCCGGCGGAAATGGCCATATTTCGCCACGTATTCTTTTTTCCCATTTCCCCAGAACACATTTGCAGTGAGATTAACTTAATGCCGACAATTTTAGCTAAACTTTCATATAACTCAATTTATGTAGTCTTTATGGTCACATTCGCTAAACGCAAAAGCGCAAAATAAAATAAATTCTCTCATTTCCTGCAGCGATTTTTCCTTGTGAAATTTTGAAAAAAAAGTTTTTGAAACAATTTTGCACAATAAACGTTATCAAGAAATCATGTGATAGAGTAGTAGTTGATGGCATGCAATCTGCCTCCTTATCGCTGAATTGCGCTCTTCGAAAAGACAAATCACTCAATCTTCTATTGTAGAAACGTGATACAGCTGAAAAATTCACTTTTATTGTTCCTCTGTAATTTACATTCGCTGCATAATAGCCTCGTAGATTATTTCAGACGAATATTAACTGTCAAAAGTTGGCGAGATACTTGTCTCAATTTCTTTTTTCTATCGACTGTTTCCACAGTTTGAAATTGAAACTTGAAAAACAAGTCGGAAATACAAAAGGCCACGTCATGGCTTGATTATACTTTCAGGGAGTTGGAGATAACAAGAGGCAACTTTAGGAAATTGACGGACATCCTGAATAATTTTCAGGAATTTAGCAAAAAATTTAATCAAATTTTGTTTCAAAAGTTTTGTATCACATCCACTACATGTATTTAGGTCTATTGAATATTAATTTCCTTTAATAATTTAATAACAATTCGGATGAAATATTAATGAGCACACTCCTGGTTTGAAATTTCAAAATAACAATCGTTTTGCTCATCGCAAAATCCTGAAAAGTTTATGTTTCAATTTCAGCTAAAAAAATGTATAAACTTTAATGGAAAAGCTTCAGCGGCGTTATTTTTGCATCGCTTCAAAAAACGTAACTCCATCTCCTGTTTCAGTTCTTATTTATCAGATTCACTGAAATAAACGTTACATTTAAACGTCGCCACGAATAAAAGGGAACATGGAAGCCCATCTGCTAGTGCACTTGTCTGAAATTCAGATGAATCGCAACCGACACTGATATATTCATTTTTATTCAGGAGGGGTGATGCGCCACTTGACATCTGCTCCGGTTTGGGGTTTTGATGTTTTGTGACGGGATTTTTTGGTTTATTTATGCAGAATTTCTGTAAAACTCGCAGTGGTGAGATAGTTTTCTTTGTCGTTCAATATTTGAACAAATATCGTTATTGTGGCATTTTTCAGCAACTTCAGCAAAAAAATTGTAATGAAAAATGTTTCAGTTGCGTAAAATACAATGACAAATGGCAGCTTAAGTTCTTTTTACTTGCAGTAGGAAAGTTTTACAGTTTTACGATAAAAGCTTGGAAAGACCTTTGTCCATTTTCTTTTAATTCAAAGTAAATTGTTAAGTCTATCCGACACTCATTGATAAAAGAACGTTTCAGTTTAAAAGCTTTTATCTTAAAATGTTACAGAAGTGTGTTTATTTATTTATTTACTTTTTATTGTCTGTATTATTTGGTAAAGTTAAATATACAGAGAGCGGCAATATCATGAAATAATCTTGTTTATTAAAAATAAAAATATTTTCTTTTGACAAAAATGCTCAAACAGAACAATTTTCTTTATTAAAAATACAAAATTGTACGTTTGTTTTTTGTTGATATTATTTC